AGTTGGCTTGACTGTTACGTTAAACGTGTTTTTTTACGGCCACTGTTAATTTCAGCGGACAATGGGTGGGGCCATCGACGATCGAGTCCGAACAATCGGCCGGGCGTGAGCGCGCTTAATTGCTCTTTGCCGACGAGTAATTTCCATTCCAACACCTTAAATAAACACTAGTTATTTTAACAACCTTCGACGTCAAACAGCTTTATTGTACTACAGAATCGCTGGGCGAATCGAAATTTCAACTCGGTAAAATACACGTGTATATTGATGGCATACAGATAGTCAAATATAGTACGTATCAGTAACAAACGTACCACAATTCAATCTCAATGAGCTTCGTCGAAGTAGTGACCCATAGTTAACCTGAAGTTAATTTAACAGTCCACCGCTTGGGTGGTAACCAGCGACGATATTGTCTCGAAACATAACGGCTGATTTTACGATCAAATCAGCCAAGTTGGTGCTTAATGTAAAACCAGTTTAAATACACTCGTAAATCTCTTGAACGCGTGCCCACGCTGCGGATGACGTTCTGTCTCATGCAACTCCAATTCTTTTCATTCCAGTATCGTTCATTTATAGTGCCGACTTATTCCATATCCAAAACGTACCAAAGGTTAATCCTTTCCAAAATCCTCATTCAAGATAAGACGTGGATTGTAATTCTAAAACGAGGCAGTTAAATTAATTGTTAATCACAATTGTTATTATAAATAAATAAATTGTTCTTTTATAGCCTGACAAAGCGTTCCAATGAATTGTTAGTTGATTAAATTTGTAGATGGTGCATTCCCATGGTCCGACTACGCGGAAATAATAGCGCAAATGAATGTGAATGGCATTACGGTTGGAGATCACGTCGGCCCATAAATCCCAACCCCCGATAGAACAATTAAAAGACGAGTTTAAAACAATTACGCAATGGTTGCCCCCGGGCTTGCTCGTGATGCCATAGAACAAAGATCAATAAAACTGTTGGAATATTAATTAACATTATGTATCTATAAGTTACAACACGAGCTACAAAGACAAAGAAAGGTTGTCGTTCCAAATCACTTTAGCTCTTGTTTTTGTAGTAATTTATTTGGACAATTTAGTTCTACTGTCCCTTAACTAAATAAAGGTGAACTTATTTCGACAGAGATTTATTTTCTTAAAAGCTGAAATAATATGTAATCACAATGGAGATAGGTAAGTACTAACCCAAGTTCTACACCTATCAAGAATGTATTACACTTTCAGATTTGTCTATTATTTTTCGATTCTGCGTGCTAGTTTTTGAGCACGTGAACATATAAATCTGCTAAAATATATGCGTATCTGATAGAATGCTTTATTGTTTAGTAGCTTTGTCGAGTGTTAATCGAAATCAATTGTTTCGCTGCAATAAGTCATGCATAGGATTTTAATTGAGAGTATCTGAGCTCTTATGAATCTGAGCCTTGGGCTATTACTATAGTTTATTCACTACCCAATATCTGTTTGCTGTGGGTTCAAACATAAATTATATTGGTTATTGTGGTAAAAACTATTGAGTGAAACAACAAAAGTTACAATTTCCACGATTTTTATAGACACTTTGGCTCTATGCTTATCTATTTTTCTACGCTATTTTTCTATTATACTACGATTCTACTGTACATGCCTAGGACCATCACTAAATATTATAGAGGTATATCAAATACATACCTACATACTGATTTACTTTTTGTGAACACATACTCTGCACTTGGTATAATCAATATTGTACGTCGTATATCCTGAAGGCGGTAGCTCATGCGTCCCGCTTGCAGTACGTCCGAACGATCTGCATCCCGCCTGATCCCATTTTAATGGAGCGCCCGGCAAACAAGCTTCCGAGCCGCTTACTGGCAAATCCACCGGGATCCCATGCGCCACTTAGCTCGAAAAAGTACAGTGTTATATACTCGTCCCAACACAGTCTGAATGTTCGCCATCATGATATGAAATTATTTATTTTAATACCCTCACTTAATACGTTGAATGATTTCCCAGACCACATAAATTACATTCTTGTATACCTACCTCAATAATAGTTATTTGTACATTAAACCTGCGGTAAATATGGACATTTTATCTACTGCAGATGTCGCGACAAATTGTATGATTGAGCTTTCAAAGACATCTATTCACCATTCCATTCATCTATCGGAGAATTGATGTGTAGAAGTCAAACAAAACGTCACCGGCCGAAGCGGTTGCTTTTAAATGGCCGCTGCCCTGCCATTTATTCGCACATTTAAATGGGAATTAATCTGGCATTGTGCGAGCAGAGCGCGTTCAGCGTTAATATTTCGCTTCGTATTGACAATATGCTCACACTAAGGGCTTTGATTCATTAGCTGGAGGCGAACGACCGCTGGATAAAGGAGCTGGATCCTTCCATTCGTTCCATGGATGCGCCTCCGCTGACCTGTGCGCTAACGAGTCAGTCGAGTATAATGATCGCATTGAAGGCTATGACTGGCCAAATGACAAGTGTGAAACACAACGAGAATAAAATAAAGCAAAATTTTCATCTGACCTGTTGACCATTCTACGAAAATTTGTAACCCACATAGCCAGTTTGAAATAAATAAGACATGGACTCGACCTCGATAACTCGATGGATTGAATAAATCATCCGCGATTTGTCTTCCTCAACAGGTAGATTTTTAAAATCAGGTAATTGTTATTCATGCAAATCTAACTTACACGAGCAGAAAATGAATCCTAAGCATAGACTCTCATAAATAATATAATCGAATGAGTACCTACCTCTTGTTTGTGAAATAACAAAGAGGTAATAACAAGGAAGTACCAACCATATTTTAAATTTTAAATTCGTGTCATTTTAATTTATCTAAACACAAAGCAAACAATATCTAAGGATTAGGATTCGTTCAGGTTCAGGTAAGCGCATGTTTAGTTATTTATTTTCAGTTCTATAAATTCTTAACCAATACTAAACACATTTCTTCTCAAACGATTGTTCCACCATTTACGAGGCGAGAGGCAAACTATAATTTTCTATCATTTTCGAAACAGCACGCAAATTATGCGTAATTTTGATACAAGACCCAATGTTGTCTATTAATAATTTAAACTGAATGCCATAAGAGATTACAGAATATATTTTTTTTAATCATTGGTGATTCTTCAGGCTTCAAATGTTCAAAAAATTTCCACGTTTTGTATTCTGTCTGGAGAATTTACCTCGTCGAATGCCGTAGTTCCGATGCAGGCTATTTTAAATGTAAAGACGGAGCATTGCATAATCACCAACGTGATTCGCTATCAGTATTCGGTACTAAATATTTATTCCCATCGGTTTTTACGATACTTTTTGCCGTTCGTCGTAAAAATGTTTTAGATGGTTTTGCTATCATTTTACTTTTCCTAAACCGTCCCGTATGGCTACCAAATCAAGATAAAAAGTGACAGTTGGAATTCAATCGGTTTGCAGCATACTTGTCGTAATATATACCTATGTATTGCGGTTGACTACTCCGTTTTCACAATTTTAAAACGATTGCACTTCAAATGTTCCTTCGATGCACCTGTTATACCAATGTTTAAAATATCCTTGTTGTTTTTTTACGTAAAACAACTTTAGAAATACTAGTAGCCGAACGAAAAAACGATGTCTAATCGGATGAATAATAGTATAAAACATTGATTGTATTACACAAAGTAAAGGCGGCCATCATTTATCGCCGCTCCGAGTCGAACTCACTATAAAATTGAATACGAGCTCCCGGCCTGACGTTTCGATTTGCCGTGACGATTGTTTCAACTACCGGTTTTAGACAATTTGGAGTTCCGTGTGTTGCCTTCTGAAGCTGTATTCTGTCACTTAACTCCACATTTGTCACTCTTCTTAACTGACGTTTACTCCTGTCTTTTTGACAATTATTTACGTCGGCTTTATACTTCAAGACTTCACAAGTTTATGAAACGTATGTTTCTTTGTACTTTTTATGATTCGCAGCAAAATAACCCGTAATTTAGAATCCCAATTAGGCAAAAAACCCTGACATTATTAATTGCTATCGTACATTTATTATACGGACCTTAATTACACGCAGTAATTAAACACTACGGAGAACCCTGTTGTTTAATATGCAGCCAGTACCACCTTCCCAATTTTTTATACGGCCGCCGTTCGATTTTAATACAAAGACAGATCTGGCATTAATTAAGTTGGGCTGATGAGTTCGCATCGTCTGTCTCGCTCGTCGCTCGGCATCATTACGGCTACATGTAGAGGCGAGAAGTTTTTTAATTCGTCATTATTCTGTGGCGTAAAGAAATGTTAATTCGAGGCAGCGTGAAATTAACAGCCGCCGCGTTGCCCTTTGTAGGGCCGCTGCGGCTGACTTAAACACACAACGGGTGACGAGATGCACGCTCCTTTCATACTACACTCTCTTATTTGCACTCGATTACTCTTTTTTGTATGCTTTCATTAAGAAGTGCTGCAATGGGTTGTTAAACATCAATTTGTATAATGGTCGTGAGGAAGAAATTGCGATTTGCCTTTAATCATGTCATTACTAATATGTAACGCTGTAGACGCAGCATGTCTTACTTATGACGTCTCATCTAAATCTGAATTGTGTGCTCTATATTAAAACCAAGCTACTTTTTTGTTAGAAATGTAATCAATTACTGATATCATTTGATAATATAGTAAAACTGATGCTGACTGCCATGACAATATTTAACAACGCTATCTGATCTGACTACGACAGACTCATCAAACGAAACTCAATTACCCACCCCACGCTCCAATATCCTCATATTAGAGGTATAATTATCAAATTACTGCGGGATTTTCGTACAATTTCCAACAATTACGTGAGTAATTAACTGTGGAGTAACCAACGGAAGAGAATAATCATAATTTATTAGTCTTATAAAGAGTATTCCTTCGCAAAATGGCTTTGAACCTGGGTTTTTGTCAAAACAAAGGTACTTCATTCAGTATTTTGTTGCAGTGGTACCGTGTGAACAAGGATCGACTGTGTCCCGAGCTGATCAAGAAGTTCGTCCAATTGTACCCTGATGAAGAAACCAAGGAGTTTCTGTCGGCCTCCATAGATAAATCCTCGTGGGTGTGGACGCAGATCTGGTACCTGCTTGCCAAAGCTGTATTAAGACACTTCTGGTCCGTCACTGATATTAATGGGTAAGTCAATTTTTTTATATATCATATGTATTGTTGAGCACCCGTTGTCAACCTTGGGGAACATTTCTAGACTCAGTACTACTAAGGTGAATTTCGAAACGGAAATAGTTGATAATCTTTATCCGGACCTAAAATGTAGCGCCAGACTTCGTACTTACAAGAACTGGATTAACTCAGTTATCAAGTTTGTAAGGTAATTCTAGAACCCATTCCTATATGCATTATTTTTTTCGTCAGTGTTATAGAAATGTAGATAAATGTAGAAGTCGAAAAAGTGCTGTGCCGAGGAACTGCAACATTGAGGTAAGGTAAGATTGTTTTTAATTATTTTCATCATATTTCGGTAATAACTTACTAAACTTAGAAAAACTTCATGGGTTGTTATTGTGTCTTAGGCATGCACGTAGATACCAAATTTTAGGTTCTTTAGTTATACATTTGGTTACTTATAAAATCGATGAATTCTTCTAAACCACTTCATCTTCAATAATGTCCTTCAATCCAACTTTAATTCCTTTCATCATTACTCTCAGCTTCCAGCTGGAGGATCGCACTGCTCCCAGTTAGTACGTCAAACTTTTTAATTTAAAAGTAATGAATCATATCTTTTACAAACGATGAATTGCCATTTGAATGACGACAATGGGACATTATTAAGTGCGTCCAGATTCGACCAATTACGCCAATTACAATCTCCCGGTACATACATACGTAGATGTGGGTGTATGTGTTATTTCCTCATCCATTGTGTTGTGTCTGTACAAATTAACTAATTCGGGATGTGATTTGGTCTTTTGTTGCTGTTTAGCTGATGGCTCTGTGGTACAGTGATCTAGTTGAAATAATAAAGTAGATGAGTATAAAATTACTGGTTGTTATATCTATACCGTTTTTATAAAACTAAGTTTCATGACATGTAGACGGTCAAATTGGTACCGAAAATACGCCAAAGCTCACAATTTCTGGTTGGTACTTTTATGAAAAAAAAAAGAACCGCTTACGGAACAGCCTACAGGACGTACCGTTGGTGGCCGAATGGAATGTTTCGACACGTTCTGTACAGCGTCAGTACATCTGTGGATATCGATAACAGTATCCATCCGCCATAATTGCATCAGCAGGGGCGTCCGTCCGCCGATCGTTGGGTGTCTATAGCGGACCACTAATAAATAATTTAAATAAATTGACGGACGAGATTTACTCATTGGTGGCTTCCGTCTCTCAATTACTCTTTATTTATCACTTACTATGCGTCGACCGCCACAAGTATTGGGCGAACGATTGAACTATTTAGACGCATTTGTTTTTATTTTGGGAAAGGAAGTTTGAATATTCATCTAAAAATCCAAAAAAAAATACACTTGAGTCTAACCATCCCATGTTAATATCTAATGAATCTCTTGAAATATCCATCAATGATCTTTAAAACAGTGATGTGTGAGAATGTGTCTTATTTCCTCTAGTCCATGATTCAAATGGCCTTTTCCAACCTTACCTGATTCAGCTGGATAGTAGTATGTGTGCATGTATTTTTGTTATACCTCTGACTACCTTCGTAATTATAATATTGACTGAGTTTCAGTTTAGTTATACCTCTGACTTAGATGAAACAAGCTTAGGTCTCCAAATAATACATATAATTAGTCATCATCCATTGTGTTTTATGAATTTTGTCTTGATTCATTTTGTCTTTATTTATACGGTTTTGGATAGTAATGTTACATGGTTTAGACTTAACATTACAGCACTCGGTAATCGCCAAAAGAGGATGCAGATCAATATAGCGTTACAGTTGTCTAGTCAATGTCTGGACTCCTAGCTGTCTCTGAGAATTTCGATATAAAGAAAATCAATTACACGTTTGCCAAACCTGAGACCTCTCTATAATGATTTACAAGAGATGTTAAGAATCTCTCCTGATATGTAAACAGGTGCCAAAAACCTATAAAACTAATATCGTCATAGTAGATTCTTTACAAAATTAATATTGATTTTTCAATGCTCTGTTCAATTTTATCAGACGAATAACTTTGAATATTTATTTGACAAATTGGTCCATACTAAAAACTATCAAATTTACATTTTATTCTACAGTTAGAATTACTTGTTGATTGAAAAATCGATCCTTGAGAAGTCATTGGATGATTTTTCGCCCTCAAAAAAAAAAATTTTTTTCTAGTAGCTTAAATCCCTTGTTACTATTTAAATATGCTCAGCTATATTTCATTTTAGAATAGCAATATTTTGTGAAAGTTCCGTATCGCAATGGTTCCCCCTTACACTTTGTATCCGGGATATTAATCATAGTGCTATTAGTCAGGATGGAGGACCCACCGCCCCATACACTTTTCTGTCCTAAATGAATCTATTTTCAATGAATTTCAATTAGTTTACATTATACATGTCCTGTCCTTGAAACTGTTCATTTTGTTTGATTAGAAAGCATTGCTGAGGTTTGTAAGTTTTGAAACTGATAAACCCACTTTATCTAGGACTCTGAAATTAGATCCAATGACTCCAATATGTGGTGGTTTCATTATGATGGCATCTTAAAGGTAATATCTCTCTTCCCACTTAGTGTCATTTTACATATTTTTTTAAAAAGTTATTAATTTTCTAAATAACCAAAGGAAATCGTACGTTCGTCAGTTTTACCTTTTACTAACAGATACCTATTATTGAAGAACTTATGATATTGCATATCAAACCTCAATAGTTAGCAAAAGTTCCTCCCTAGTTTAAACTACTGGTTTACATCGCAGTTCTTATAGAGAACAGAAATACAAGAAGAGCAAAGCCTTATCATTTCTCAACTATCTTATTACTACTTTTAGCTAAAGTTCTCGAACCCCAAGACTATCATAGAAACTACAGGAATGCATTTGAGAAATTCCTTCTAAAGGTATAACTATATTACTATTATTTTAATCTTAACTAGAATTCAGGTCGTGTGACGTCCATACTCACCATCATATTGTAATCATTATGATGCAAGTATTCCCAACAACATTTGCTCTGACATATCGGTAGTTTTGATACACCTAGTTATCTGTATAACTTACTAATCTGTTATTGTCTAAAGGAGTAAGTAAAGGTATTTTACATAGAATTATTGACAATATTGAAATCGAAAATCATTCTTTGCCCTTCTCCTTTCAATGACTTTCTTGTTTATCAAATGACAACAACAAACTCTATACTCGCAGTCGATTACAATCAATCAAATACTCTGCGTACTTAATTCAAGAAACATTTACCTTTCACCTCTCAACAAATGCTTGTCCAATATAATTATTGGGTACAAAGAATTAAAGTCGAACAAACGCATTTCAATCAGCAAGCAGACGAGCTCATTGACACCGGACAATAAATTTGGCAAATCAATTGGCAAACGGTAATATTTGGACTCAGTCGTATATTAAAGACGTCTATGCTAATGTACGGATGAATTAAACGCATTGGTGTTTATTAAGGCGAATTTGCGTCACTAGAGAGTACAAAGTACTTTTCCATTCTGTGGTTTAGGACTCCTAAATAGTTTTTTAACAGCAAATTTGCCGTCATTCGTGTCGTCCTTGAAACGAAACGCTATGTTCCTCACGTGCGTTGAATAACTACTAGCTAATACACTCTATTCCACTTATTTTTAAATCATGACATCAGTATTCATTACTAGACGTAAGCCATGTCCCGTAAGCTGAAATATCCTTTACTACTTGGATGTTGCGTTCAGTTTCAAGAGGTCGCCTCTTGAAAAAAGACACCGGCTATTCCTTGTCAAGACGGTTTCTAGTTCATATTATTCAACTAAGTGTGTTTATTTTTGTGTTTTTTATTTTTGCTTTTTGCTTCTATTTTAGTCTTGCGAAAAAGTACAAGATTTTCAAATTACCTAACACGCTAGAGTTAATATTACTACTATCCAATATTAGGAACAAATACACGTTAGTAAAAGACAAAGCTCTCATTATACCTATCAACAATGGATCTTAATTAAAAACTATTATGCTTAGGAAAAAAATGAGATCAAAGTTATAGTCTGAGATTCACTAAAAAAAGTTTTGGAACTCGTTAAATATGGCATTTGGCTTTCCATAATTTCCTTATAAACCTAAGCGACTTTGATAAATGATGTGGCATTAGATTTGTGTCAACTGAAGACGTCAATAGACGCTGTAATACTCAAGTATTCAGAATGAGGTCACAAGTCCCCTAGACTAGCATATTTACATCAAATTTCGTTATTTTCACGTTTGGGAATACAAAATGTGTCATGTGGCTGTCTACAAAATCACAGATGTTTCATCTTAAGTAAGTACATACTATACAGCCTTATGAAACTCCATAATTCTCTTCTATATTATTTTAATTTACAATAATTAACCCTTATCTTACACCAAGCTCCCAAACCACGGATCTGATATAATTATACGTACAAGAAAATTCCACGAAACATATTTGCACAATAATTATTTGTGAATTAACGCGATAAACTTAAAGAATCACCACAATATGCAAATTTTTACCGTAAAGGCTTAATATAAAACATTAAAATGATTGTTATTACACACGTTAATTATCTCGACCTTTTTAAATCGTTCGAGATAATAATACGAAAATGCCATATAATTATTTTTCGGACACCATTAAATATTATTAAGTTTTTTGACATTTCTTCTTAATTGCTTGTTTTTAAAATCCGTAATGAGATTCCTTATACAATCTCATATTTTACGTAGCAGGTAAATTGATTCGATTGTATTACATATTAAGTTTGTTTGTAAGATTCCACCAATATTAATAAGGTGTCAATGAAACGCTGTAAGTGTGGAATATTTATTAGCCTTTTAGGTATATCGAAAACGATTTAGAGCCAGGTTGTGTATTTCCTTTAAGAAATAATCTTTATATAACCTTTGGAGCTCGCAATGGGGTTGTTGGCAATGACACCCTTTCAAAGCATTAACTACGAATTAACTACGAGCTCTTGGAATAGTAGT